ATCCTCCCGCCTCACCCTCCCAGAGTGCTAGGATTACAAGCGTGAGCCACTGCTCCCAGCCTAACAAAGGCTTCTGGTCCTAATTTCATATCATACCCAGGTTCATTATCCAGTCAATCTGTTTTATGCCTTCTGTAGTCTTGCCTTAAAAGGTTAAAAGAGGGCAGGAGATTGAACTTTGGAGGACATCCTTAGGGTCCTTACTCTAGAGTGAATTTGATCCAGTAATAAACTCTCTTTATGGCTGGTTCTTTAAAGCTAAGAAATCACACAACTTCTTTTCCTCATACACTGTATAATGCCTCTCCCTCCCATGTCAGGTTTCTAGGAACCTAGAATTTCACTATCAAAGATTCATTCCTTTGGCTCTTGACTTTGTTCCTCCTTTGAAACAATTTTCCAGTCTGATTCTTCAAGTACATATTAATGCAAATGGACTTAACAGTTCCTTTTCCTGGTACCAAGTTTAGGTAGGAAGGCAAAACTAATCCTTTACCTAAGCCCTGGTCACGGGCTGACCGCTGACTCCCACCCAGACAAAGCCCTGACTCCTAACCCTGAGTAGTCAGTGACCCAGGCCACACCCTAACTCCTGGTCACAACCTGATTCCTCGCTTCAGATAGGAGGACTGCTAGGTGGGTGGTGGAATGGGAGGAAGGTGATGCAGGTTTCGTGGGATTCTCGCATGCCCGGCCGCCAGCTTCCCTATCTTCACAAGCCCTGCAAGCTGCTCCAGACCTAGGTGAGCAGGGCTCCGCCTAGAGGCAAGACCCGGCAAGGGGCAGAGGAGAAAGCGCCAAGTGGCGGTGGGGTCATGCGCAGAGAGATTCGTCCGGCCTGCCGGAGGGCAACGTGCAGGGGCGGGACACCGGCGCGGCTCGACTCCCAATTGGTCAGCAGGCAGAAAGGGGCGGGGCAGGACGGCGCGCGCACCGAGGCGCGCGGCCCGGCGGGTGTGTAACGGCCGTTAGGCAGGCTGAGGAACTGAACCGCCGCCCACCGCAGACGTGGTGGCCGCAGTCGGTGTCCGCCGAGTGAGGGATTTCGCCGCCCTCTTTCAGGCCCCCGTAAGTTTTCCTCGCTTCGGGATCCCCGTGGGAGTGACAGACCTTGCCCCTCCTCCTTGGGTAGCCCGGGCAAAGCGGGGGACACTCGCGACCTACCTCCGTTGAGGGGCGGGAGGAGAGCGAAGCGCATGCGCTTGGCGACTGAGCCGTAACCCTCCGGGTCCCTCAGCGCCTCTGCTTCCTAAGACGGTGCCTCCCCCCACACGCCCTCTCGTGTCCCCGTCTCCTCCGCTCTCTCGTTGCCTTGCTTTCTCCTCCGTCATTAACTCCACCGCAGTTGTTTTTACCTGTGTGCCGGGCCCTGTGCCAATGGCCAGGGAAACGCGGGCAGCACTTTCCTTGCCCTCACGGAGCACACCGTCCCGGGAGAAGAGTAGACGTTGAGCGGGGAGTTAGCACTCAGTACGTGTAGGGCGGAGAAATTTTACAAACAGCACAAAACAGAGGGCGCTGATCTAGTTGGGGAGGCCAGGGAACCCTCCCTGAGGAAATTAAGTTTGAGCTGAGATTTGAAAGCTGTATAGAGAATTAAGGTTGGGGAACAGAGAGCACTTGCGAGGGCCCCGGACCGGTGCTGCTCAGCTGGGGCGATTTTGCCTCCCGGTGGACATTCGATGATATCAGGAGACATTTTTGATAGTCACAACTCTGGAGCTTGCTACTAACTCTAGTGCGAAGAGTCCAGGGACGCAGCCACACAACCTGCAGGGTACGGGACAGCCCCCACAACGAAGAATCATCCCACCCAAAATGTCAGTAGTGCCGAGGTTGACGAACCTGCTCTAGCAAGGAGCTGGTGCTTTGGATGAACTGAAAGTTTAGTGTGTTCAAGTTTATTTGTCCAACAGAGTGTATTCAGCATGTCACCCCAATAAACCAGGGGGACCAGAACCATGTTTGTCTTTTACACCAATATACTTCTAGCACATGGCACAGATCCAGGCAAATATTAATAGTAGGCACTCAGTAAATTTTGGTTGATGAATCGAATACTGTGTGCTAGGTAGGGAGGAGTGGTGATACAAGGATGATTAAGATAACCAGGCCTCATTACTTGCCCTTTAGGTCTTGTGTGCTTTATAATGGTCTGGTGGTTTTGTATGTCTCAGGACTAGTTCTTTGTAAAGGCGCTTGTCTTTCACAAGGTCTGGTTTAATGAATGATCAAGGCTGTGAAAATAGTGTGATGGTGAGAGATTCCTAATGTGTCTGTGTCAGCTGTCTATGAATCCCCTCAAATCCTCTCCTGTTCTGATGTGGTTATCTCAACAGCTGCCAACCATGATATTCCTTACTAAGATTGTCATTCTTGAAGGGAGAAATGAAACAGTCAAAATCTAATTCTTGGAGGATAGCAACTTGGGAAATAGAGCCTGGGTGATGACCAAGGGCAAAGTGAAGAAGTTATATGAGCTGTTCCTTGACTCCTTGAGCTGCTCCTAACTGCCTTGAAGCTTGCAGCTCTGGCTGTCTGAGGCAGAAACTCCAACTTGTGGTGCCTTCCTTGATTTCTCTTTCTGCGTTTTGTCACATAGAATGCTGACTAGATTCCTATATCATTGGAGCACAGTCCTGGCTTTGAAGCCTCTTCTTAGCTGTATGACCTACACTACTCTAAATTTATTTTCTCATCCATAAAATGAGGATACTAATAACTGCCTCAGGGTTGATGTGAGCACTGAACATGAGACATGATGCCTAAAAAGTGTTTAGCACAATGTTTTTGGGTAGTAAGTGCTGAGTTCATGTTAGATTTGAGTTCATGTTAGATTGAGGAATGAATGAATATTTCTGCAATTTAAAGGGTTTTGAAGATAGAAACCAACCATGTTGGATGTTTTTCCCTCCCCTCCCTCATCTACCTCCATTTACTCCTTCCTTTCTTGGCTGTGTGATTGGTTCTTTCTGTTGTTTCTTGTGCATTCATTTCTCTCACTTTTTTTTTTTTTTTTGAGACAGAGTGTCACTCTGTTGCCCTGGCTAGAGTGAGTGCCGTGGCGTCCGTCAGCCTAGCTCACAGCAACCTCAAACTCCTGGGCTAAAGCGATTCTATTGCCTCAGCCTCCCGAGTAGCTGGGACTACAGGCATGC